CCCATGGGGCATGCTCAGCACCTCGTACTCACCCTCTTACGTATCTTAGTCCAGATGGCAAAGATACAACGAGCTCCAGTGAGAACCACCCCGATCAGACGAGCCCTGGGCAGAAGCCACCTTGCCTCCTGTGACTCTCAGGGGCTACAGCAGCCACAGCCCCACGGTGAGCAGGGAGCTCTGTGCCCATCGAGGGACGGGTCTCGCTCCCCACTCCCCTGCACCCCACGTCACCCCACAGCATCTTTGGGGCATCTTTCCTCCAATAACCAGCAAGTCTCTGCCCACTTGTAGCAACCTTTTATCTGAGAACTTCCCACGCCTTTGGAAACTTCCCTGAGTGAAGCTTTAACCCCTGGAGAGCAATTATTTCACCTCAGAAAGTGAGACAGGGAGGTTTTGGGGACTAACCGGGCTGGACAGACTGGCTCAGATCAGAGCTGGGAAGGGAAGGCTGTTCCCTCTCCAACGGGGCTTTAATTAGACAACGCTGCTGCTCTGTCTGAGCATACATTAATTATACAGATTACCTGCAGTCACTTTAGAGAGTCCTGGCTGAACTTGTTTAGCTCATTAGAGCGACAGGCTCTCAGGCAGCAGCACGGAGCAGGCTCTGAGCTGTAGCAGACAGCTCTAACGAGGTACAGTGGCTGGGAGTCCTGGCGGAGTGGGGGGCGAGCTTTCAGCACCCTGAGGCAGCACACGTGGGGCAGCTTATCCCACAGTGCCTGGATTTTCCATCCCTGAATTTCTGAGATTGAAGAATGAACAGGGAGGTTCCTTAAGTTGAAATGAATATAGAGAAATCCTTTCGACCTGCTTTGTTGTGCAGGAGGTTGGTGGTTGCTCCTCGATTTCTGACCTATAAAAACGTTGAGTTCACCACTTCCTTCAGGCTCAACAGTCACTGGGAGAAGCCACTTCTTGGGACAACACGTTGGTTCTCCCACAATTACCAATTTGAGAGGAAAACCCAGTGCCTGAGCGCAGCCCCTCCAGTAGGACTGAGCAGGTTTGTGAGGCAAACCCTCCACCAGACCTGCCGAAACACGCAGCTGAATTTCCTGCCAGTGAAGTTATTGACCCCCCAGTCCCGGGGCTGTTCCCCAGGGCAGGAGGCTCAGCAGACAGCAGCTTTTGGTGACTCTGACAAAAAGCTTAAGTCTCTCAGCCGAGCTTTGTGAAAACGAGAGGAAATTTACTGTAAAACCAAGTGCTGCTGCTGCTGCCTTTGCCTGGCCTCAGATTCATCTGCTGAGATGAAACCGCGCTGCCGGCGCTGGGCGAGGAGGGGGAAGGCTGTGAGGCTACGAGAACATATCTGCAAGAAACCAGGACAAACATCACGAGCTGATTTCCACCGGAGATTGTGATGCGGCTGCAGCAAGCACAGCTCGGGTACCCTGGGGAGCTGCACTGAAAAAAAAACTCCCCAGAAGCAGAAGTAGGTATTTTTTTTCCCCTTTTCAATCACCAAAAATGAAGGCCCCGTAACGGTGGGTCAACAACGCTGAACCTGCACTGGACCGTGGGATGCAAGTAGCAAATTTTAAGACTAATTCCAAACCAGGAGCAGGCAGCAGATCTCACCCACCTCATGCATGTTCCTGCAGCAGGAGGGGAAGATGTCACAGTTCAGCTCCTCTGGAGGCATTTCATTTCAGAAGGACCAACCATGTTTCTAAACGCCAAGCCCAAATGTCACGAAATTTGGATGTGCAGACCTAATGACAGCCCTGATGCTGGGCTGGAGGGGCTTTTGTGAGGAGTTCGTTTTCACCCCCTAAGGTAGGCGACCCCCCTGCTCACACCGAGTGGCTCGGGTTGAAGCTGACATCGTTTCAGGGCTTTTCTTCCTTCCTTCCTCCCTTCCTGCCCTTCCCCGATGGCTGGAAACGCGCTCGCCCGGGCACGGAACCGTGCTGGAAAGCTGGAGTCAGGAACCTGCTCCAGAGGTGTCTGCAGAGCTGAGCAGCAGCAGAGACCTCAGCACTGGGAGTCACATTCCAAAATACAGGACTGGTGTTGTAAGGAGGTGCAAGTTTTGACAGTCACGTACCTGCCACCGTGGGTTTCTAGCCACACATCTGGTAGTTTTGCATCACTGCAGGCTTCCAGAGGATGGCATTTCAATACCCACGCTCTCACAAGCCTCCCACCTGCACCCAGGAGCTCGGCGGTTCCCCAGGAGCTGCTCCACACCCAAGAACTCTTGTCCCCCTCCCCACAAAACAACTGGAAATTTTTCTGTTGATAAAACCAAGGCCCCACACTCTGAACTCAACCGCTCCTTCCCCACAACAGGCACGGGGTCCCACTCAGCCTCCAGATCCAAGCCACGGCACCCCAGCAGCACCACTGAGGTCAAGAACCATTTTTTTTCCTCCCTTTTGAAGCCCAGATGCTTCCAGAGCAGAAGCACCAAGTGGCACAAGGCTCACAGCCTCCCGGAGCTCAGAACCCCACCTGCCTGCAGCAGCACCTCCAGCTCTGCCTCTCCCACCCAGCTCAAGGCTCTTAAAGCTCTTTTCCACCCCAATTTAGCTGCAGACTCGATTTTAGGCAAGGAAACAACCACCACTCACTGCGCAGAGACTCAGAGGCCGGCGGGTGTGATGAGCAGGACTCTGACCATGCTCCTCCTTCAGCCAACCCGCAGTGCTCCCTTTATCCCACCCTCTGCTGCAGCAGGGGCTCCCGGGCGTTGCCAGCACGGGGCTCTCCGTGCCCTGCTGGGGCAGGCAGCTCTGAGCAGCCACCAGGCAGCACACCCCACAGCTCGCTTCCTGGCCCGCCAGGCGGGGGCTGCACCCAGCGGCAGGCGGGGTTCTGGCCCTGAGCTGTGCTGCTGGGCCCCCAGAGCAGCCTCTGCTCCCCACCAGGCCGGCTGCAGAGCCAGCTCTGCCCCCCCAGGGGGAGCAGGGAAGAACGGGTCGCTGCAGATCCTCATTACCCTGCAAATGAACGACGCTTTGCAAGGGCAGAAGGGGAGAAATAAAACCTGACTTTATTCCCCAGGGACCTGAGGTGTCTTGGGTGGGAGGCGGCACCAGTGTGACAACGGAGGCTGTGGAAATACCAAGGAAGGGTCAAAATATGACTCAGACAACTAATACACCTGGTTCTTCAGGAGGGGATGATGTTAAAGAGTGTCAGAGCACAAAACAAACGCAAGAAATCTCTCAGCCTGCCAGTCCTGGGCCACTTCAGCACACACCCCTGCCAAGTGGGCACAATCACTGCATAATCCCTGCCACCACCCGAGCACAGGGAACAAGTGGCTGTTTGTGCAGGAAGGGTGCTGAGCACCCACCCTTCAACCCACAAGTGAAACCCAGCATGTGGAGAACACAAACTCTGAGCAGTGAGGGCTGTAAGGCCAACCCTGGGACACTGGGGCTGGAAACCGAGGGGTGCTGAAGGGCTCCAGGCCCCCCACGGCCCCCTCCCCGTGCCCACGGTGCCCACCACGGCAGGATCCAGGAGGAGACAGTCACTAAGGGGCCTCCTGAAGTCGTGCACCTCATCTGCTTCCCCTGTGTCTTCTGAGGTGTGTCTGCAGCAATGCCAAATCCCACAGGACTGCCCCGACCCTGCTCGGGTCTCCTCCCGTGGGAAGGTCCCTCTGGGTCCTGTGGCAGCCTGAGCCCAGCAGGAGGTGCAGCCCTGCCCAGGCTCACAGCTTTAGAAGCTTTCTGAAATAAAAAAGGTGGTACTGAAGGAGCCCAACTCTTCACTGGAAAAATGACTCACGGAATAAAAGGTGGTTGATTTCTTAAGAAAAAAAAAAATGTGTCCTTAAGATACTGGCACGAAATTGCCAAGTTGTTTTTTTTTTTTTTAAAAGCAATTACAATGCCCAAGTCCCACCAGAAACACTCTGATGAAACCAGCAGCTCCCCTGGGACAAGGACTGGCTGCCACCAATGCAGAATGTGACCTAGGGGAGAAGGAATCCTTGTGTCCAAAGATGCTCCACTCGCCTGGCCTGCTCCCAGCAGAGCCTGAAGCTCTCCTGGACAGGGCTGCATGCTGGCCACATCCACACCTCCCAACCTTTGTGCTCCTCCAGGGGCCAGTCCCACCTGGATCTGGGTCCTGAGGGGTTTTAATAACCTAGATTTGGGTCCTGAGGCTTTTTTTAATAAAATGACCTGTGTTTAGTGAGCCACCGAGGACACAAGAACTCGTGTAACGATGGCAAAACTCACAAGCTTCCCTGTGGAGTTGCTCCTAGCTGGGAGGGTTGAGAATTGCTATTCTGCCACCTTATTCCCCCACTTTTGGCACTCTACCTGTGGAATCACACAGCTTTCTACACCGAGTGAGGCCACAGCGTGTCCTTGGGATACTCTTCCTGATGAAATCTGATGCTTGAGGCCACTAGGAGCCACCTCCCAGCTGCCAGTTTTCTGTCTATCCATTACACTAGGGCTACAAGGAACTGCTCCCAGAAAAACCTGGGCTGCCAGATCAACCCCATGGCAAAAACCAGAAGGCAGAGAGGAGCTGGAGCCAGCTGTTTTCACCCAGCACGAGCCTCTTCTGCTTGGCAGGGATGTGCTCGGGCCCCTGCCTCGGGTTCATCAGTTGGCTGCAAGCAGAAGCCACAGCTGCTGGCAGGATGTGGGGCTCTCAGAGCCCCTCCTCAGCTGCTTCGTTGCCACCACTGTCATCCTTGAGCAGCAACAGGCTCTGGAAGGAGGTGCTACGAGAACAGAGGAAGGAGGTGTGCAAGACAGCAGAGAATCGTGTTTCTTGTAGCTAGCCCTGACACAGGGCTCAGTCTTTCTGAGTGCTTTCAGGGCTGGACGGATGTGTGCTCCCTCTCCTCCTCCCAGCAGAGCTCAGAAACATCTAGTTTTACAAACCACTGCTTTTCAGCCCAGTTTTCAGGCTGAGCAGCCTGAGGAGCTGGATGGCTCACCCAGGCTCTGAGGCCACGAGCACCGGGGCTGGCTAGAAGGACTCTCCCAGCAGTCCAACGCCCTCCTCAGAGCCTAGAACTCAGTCATCTTCTTATGTGTGTCTGCCTTCTTCTGCTCCCTCTGCAGCCTGGCCTCCTGGGCCTGCAGCTGCCCCAGCTGCTGGTGTGCACTCGCCAGCTTCTCCTCCAGCTGAGCCGCCGCCACGCTGTGCCTGAAAGCAAAAGTGTCACAGCAGTGTCACCCTGCAGCAGGAGGTCCCCCCAGGAGGGTTTTGCCCTTTCAAATCAGCACTAATGACCTGCTGGAGCCAGGAGGAACCTGATGCTCAGCACCCTCTGGGCTAGAAAACCCTCCTGTGATGCTCGACAGCAGCGCTGCAGAGATGGGTGTGAGGAGGAGGGGACTCCAGAACCTTCCTCAGGGAGCTCCTCTCCTCACCACAGCCAGAAATGTGTCAGCTTAGGCACCCAGGCATCTGCCAGTGTCCACACTGGTCTGAAGCACACACTAAAGCCTCTCTCTCCTCCACTTCCCCTCACATCTCATCCAGACTTGTTTCACTTGTCCAGGTTGGGTAGGACTCTGAGCAACCTGATCTAGTTAAAGATCATAGAATCACACACAGGGTTGGGTGGAAGGGACCTCTCGAGCTCACCCAGTCCAACCCCCTGCAGGGAGCAGGGACATCCCCAGCTAGAGCAGGGTGCTCAGAGCCCCAAACAACCTCCCCTGGAAGGGTTCCAGGGATGGGGCAGCGACCACCTCTCTGGGCAGCCTGGGCCAGGGGCTCACCACCCCCAGCATCTAAAATCTCTTCCTTCTCTCTAGTCTAAATCTCCCTCTTTTAGTTTCAAACCATCCCCTCACGTCCTGTTTAACAGGCCCTGCTCTGAAGTCTGTCCTCAGCTTTCTGACAGGCCCTCTTTCTTACAGAACTCATCTTAAAACATCCCTGCCCATGGCAGGGAGCTTGGAACGAGATGATCTTTAAGGTCTTGCCTAACTCAAACCATTCCATGATTCTATAAATTATTCTTCCCACACCTCACCGACGGTTGGACTTGGGTGATCTTGGGAGTTCTTTTCCAACCTTAATTCTACAACTTCTCACCCACCCCCTATCCCAGGAGGGCCAAGGCCCTTGAATGTGCCCTGCAGCCCCAGAGGGGTGTGCCAGCAGCCCCAGAGGGGGTGTGCCTACCGCCCCACGTTGCGCGCCAGGGCCTGCTGGATGCCGCGGATGTCCCTCTGCTTCTGCTCAATCTGCTCCATCGTCTGCAGGAGCCGGACGCTCAGGGCCCTCTTGGTGCTCTTGCTAGCGTGGTAGATCTCTTTGCTGTTCCTCTCTGGCAGTGGCAGCCCTCCAGCCTTCTCCCCAGCTCCCTGCCCTCGCAGCTTCTCGTTCAAGAAGTCGAAGACGTTGCGGGGAGGTTTGCGGCCGCCCGCGGGGGCCCGGCCGGAGCCCCCTCCCTTCCCCTGGCCCCTCCTCGGCCTGCCTGGCTCCAGCTTCCCCTGCTGCCTCTTCTGGAGCACCTCAGCACACTGGTCGAGGGACTTGCCCCGGGGAAGCACCACAGCCTGCACCGGCTCCACTCGGCCGTCGGAGTTCTTCCCCAGCCCTGAGGGGAGACACCCAGCGGTTACCGGAGTGAGGACACGCCTCCTTCAGCCACCTCCCACCACGGGCTGACCCACACCAGCTTAGAACAAGCAAAGGGGCTTTTCAGGTGCCAAAAGCCATGAGTACCACCAAGAGAGGCAAAGGGCACAGCACAGGGGATGCAGGTGCTGGGATAGGAGCCTTTGCCAGCAGAAGATATGGGATAAAAAGCCCAAGGAAATTTCTCAGGCTGGTTTCTGTGTAACTAGGTTCAACCTCCAGTTCTCTGCTTCTCAAACCAGGTTCTTCTTCAAACTGGGAGAACCAGAGACAAACACAAGCAGGAGGCTGCCCTCCCAGCGCCCCCAAGGCTCA